TCCTTCTTGCTTGCCTAGCCTATCTGCCCCACCCTCGGAGCTACCACCACCACCGTATAATCCTGTGACAAAGACAGGACCACGACCAAGTCGTTGGACTGGATTAATTAGAGATGCCATACTAGAAGGGGAATGGCAAGCTGCTGGCGCTATTGCGTGCCCAATAATTGTAGGAGCAAATGGACCACAGTACGAGCAGCATGACTGGAAGATTCTACAACAAGCCAAGAAAACAGTCAATGAAAGTGGCATCAAGTCAGAAGCAGCTCGAGCTTTGCTTGACTGGCTTTTCACAGCCGACACCAACAATCCAACTGATTGCCGAAACCTGGCGAAGTTGCTACTTACCCCTTCTCAACAGCTCATCTGGACCCGAGAGTGGCAGCGGCTTGCGGAACTAGAAGCAGGACGACCCCGAGCCCCAAACGACCCTCTGTTTGGTCTTCCTGCAGACATGATAACTGGAAGGGGACCTTTTGCAAATATGACCCTCCAGACACAATATCCTATGGGATTACATCATCTAGCCGCTCAACTTGCAAGACAGGCATTCTATGCTGTTCCAGATGCAAATCCAAGGCCTGCATTTACGAATATATGTCAGGAATTAACTGAAGAATATACCCACTTTATTGATCAATTGATGCAAGCATTGTCAGCACAACAAGATATGGCAGAGGAGTCAAAACAATCAATGTTTAAGATATTAGCTTTTGAAAATGCCAATCCTAAAACCAAAGTGATCCTAGCCACACTTCCCCGAACTGCAGAGGTAGCAGACATGATTGAGATGGCTACCCATGCGGCACAGACTCAACAGAACCGAGTTATGGCGAATGCCTTTGCCGCAGCAATGCAACCAACCACTAGTATGCTGGTTTCTGCAGTACAAAAAATATCTCCACAAAAGAGTAAAAACAATCCTCAAGGTATCTGTTACTGATGTGGCGGAAAAGGACATTTTCAAAAGACTTGTCACGTCTCAGTGTGGTGTGATAATTGCCAAAAGGATAACCATAATAGCTGTGTATGCAGAGCCACAAAAAACGGGAAGCCGAGTGCGAGGGGCCCCCGCGCAAAGACACAAGTTGCAGGCCCAACGTTATCCAACAATTACAGCCCCCAGCCACAAGGGGAAGCTTGGGAATCGATTTGGCAGCAGCAGTAGATGTAACCTTTACGTCGACTGCCGTTCAGACAATCCCAACTGGAGTGAAAGGACCCATTTGTGAGGAAAACAGCACTATAGGAGCTCTCCTGATAGGGTAATCATCTACTGGGACGGCAGGACTTATTGTGTTACCAGGCGTAATTGATGCCAATTACACTGGAGAAATATTAATAGCAGCCTTTACCCTGTGTCCACCACTCGTTATTGCAAAAGGAACCCGAATTGCTCAATTAGTTATTTATGTGAAACAAAGCATGGGTCACGAGATCACTTCACAACTCCCCCTGCAAGGTGACCAAGGATTTGACTCCTCTGGTGGCACCATAGTCAACTTGGTACAAAAGATGCAACAGCGACATATGGTATCATTGCAACTCGTTTGTAAGGCAACGACACACTGTGTTCAAGCAATGATGGACACTGGTGCGGATATAACCATTTTTAGCAAGAAACATTGGCCATGAAATTGACCCTTGACTTCTGCCGTAGATGCAGTACAAGGCGTAGGAGGAGGATCAACTCCCCTTCAAGCTGTCTATCCCATACAGGTTAAATTTCCAGAAGGACAACAGGTCAGCATTCGACCTTACGTTATGCCCTTACCAGGGGACCTGGGAGGGCTAATTGGACGAGATGTTATGACACAACTGGGAGCTACCCTACATGTTCCTGCCTCTGGACAGGCTTTTTAGCCCCAGTCACTGCTGACAAGCTGCCAACCCCAAAAATACAACAGAAAACCAATGAACCTGTGTGGGTTGAGCAGTGGCCATTGACTGCTGAGCAGCTGGAAATCGCCTATCAGTTAGTGGAAGAGCAATTACAAGCAAATCATATCAAACCTTCTCTCAGCCCGTGGAACATGCCCATTTTCGTTATACCCAATAAATCTGGAAAGTGGCGTTTACTCCATGACTTGCGAAAAGTCAATGATCAAATGTGGACCATGGGTGCGTTGCAACCTGGTATGCCACTGCCCACGATGTTACCTCGAGACTGGAATGTCTTAGTCATTGACTTGAAAGATTGTTTCTTCACAATTCTGCTGCAACCAGAAGATACAGTCCGGTTTGCATTCACTGTGCCTTCTGTTAATAAAGCTGCCCCCGCAAAACGATATGAGTGGACTGTTCTCCCACAGGGGATGAAGAATTCACCCACCACATGTCAAATGTATGTTGCCTGGGCACTGGAACCCCTTCGGGCAGCCATGCCCGAAACCATCATTTACCATTACATGGATGACGTCCTGTTTTGCCAAAAAGAATCGTTTGATCCATGTCTTCAAACAAAAATTGGCAAAGAATTAGCTACCAAAGGCCTAGTTATAGCTCCAGAAAAGGTTCAAACAACCTCCCCCTGGAAATACTTAGTATGGTTAGTTCACAAAACCACGGTCAGTCCTCAAAAGATTACTCTTACCTCATCTATCAAGACTCTTAATGATGTCCAGAAGCTTGTCGGTGACTTACAAGGGGTACGCAACATTGTGGGAATATCAAATGAAGACTTACAACCCCTTATGCCCCTTTTATGAGTCACTGATCCCAGTGCACTAGTGCAATGGGAACCCCAGTATCAAGAAGTTGTACAACACCTCAGTGAAAAAATCGCCTCCACAAGTGCCAATCGCTGTCTTGAGGACATGCCGTTTTGCATTCTTATTTGCAATCACCGTAACTATCCTTTTGCCATCCTTGCACAGTGCCCTGCTTGGCAAAAAGAAAAAGGGGAAGAGAGGTCACAAGAAACTCCCGCAGATGCCAAGCAGTGCAAACCACAGCAGAGAATAGCAATCTTGGAATGGTTATTCCCACCGAGCACAGCACCAAAAAGTATCTGGCAACGATCGGAAGTCATTGGGTACCTTATCCGAAAAGGATGTCAACGCTGTAAAGATGTCAGCGGCAGTGAACCAGCACAGATCAGCATACCCATAAAAAGTGAAGACTTAAAATGGATGCTACAGAACTCAATCCCGTTGCAGATAGCATTGCTGGACTTCTCTGGTGTCATTAGAAATGATTTACCAAAGGATCAGCAACTACAAGTCACTTCACAGTACACCTGGATGTCGTGACCAAAAGTCATGACACGACCAGTAGAAGGACATACCGTTTTTACAGATGCAGAGAAGCGTAGTATGACTGCTGTTTGTGTATGGAAAGAACATGATCAATGGCAAAAACATCTAATACAAGGAAAGAAAGGCGACAGCCTACAAACTCTTGAACTTGCAGCTATAGCATGGGCATTAGTGACATGGAAGTCCCGCTAAATGTAGTCTCTGACTCGCAGTATGCTGTGGAAGTGGTGCAGAGAATAGAAGATACTCTGATAAGACAACCGAAGAATCTGCGTCTGGAAGAGTTGTTCAGACAAATCCAGAGATCAATTCAATTAAGAACAGAAATTTGCTGTATCATCCATATCAGAAGCCATCCGAATGAGTTTGGATTAGCAGAAGGAAATGCTATGGCAGACTCACTTGTCAGTCTCTCCATGTCAGGGCCAGTCGATTCTTTTGCCATGGCTAGGGAGAGTCATGCGCTATTTTATCAATCAGCTAGGGTCTTGAAAAGACAGTTTGATATCGACTGGACTGATGCCCAGGGTATTGTGAAGGCATGCTCTCAGTGTAGTCAACATGGGGTGGCATTAGGTTTAGGGGTAAATCCAAGAGGAATACAAGCGTGTGAAATCTGGCAAATGGATGTAACCAATGTACCAGAATTTGGTAGGTTGAAATATGTACATGTAACAATTGACACCTTTTCAAATTTCATATGGGCTACAGCACAAGCTGGGGAGAAAACATTACACATGATTAGGCATTTAACAGCATGCTTTGCAGTTATGGGAATTCCAAAAACTTTAAAGACAGATAATGGGCCAGCATATGTAGGGGGAAAAGTAAGGAGATATTTGCAGAAGTGGGGTGTAAAACATATCACTGGGATACCACATGTTTCTACTGGACAGGCAATTGTGGAGAGAGCAAACAGAACCCTTAAGGAATATCTTGAGAAACAGAAAGATCCAGAAGTTACAGACCCCCATATTAGGTTAAGTAAGGTACTCTTTACTCTGAATTTTTTAAGTTTAGCTGGAGATGCAGAACAACCTCCTGTAGTAACACACAACAGCAAAGTTGAGATGCAAGCAACCCCAGAAATTCGAATTCGGTATAAAAACCCACAGACAGGGGAATGGGAAGGTCCTAGCCCTCTGTTATTTACAGGTCGGGGTTACAGTTGTGTCTCTACAGCTAAAGGACCATTATGGGTACCAAGTAAATGGACACGCCCTGCCCTGACTGCAAAAGAAACCGCTCCCACCAAAGACAACGACGAGTAATCAAAGAACTTGCAAAAACTGTCGCAGAAGCAACAGGTATCCCAGGACTGACCAGAGTTTCACCTGACCTCGTCACAGAAAATATCTTGTGGCGACAAGGACCCAGGGGAGTATGGGAACTAAATAAGGACATTTATGCTTATAGAAATAGCATGTGTATTAGTTGTAGAGAAAAGTTGATTTTAGTGCTTAGGTGTGGAGCTTGTAATAATCAATTTGTTAGAACAAGCTTTAGCTTAGCTAGAAGCGGAAGTTTATGTAATCATTGCTATGAAAGAAATTATGACGCCTTTTATAATGCAGCGAGAATAGTTTATCAAGACCCCAATGTGAGAATTTGTAACTTTGGGGATCTTGATACCTTTTGGTTGTCCCAGAGAATATTTGCCCTTAAAAGAGCGTTGCAACAAGTGGAACAGGCAAAGAAATCAACTGTACTGCATGTACAATGTGGTCACTGTGGGTAGTGTCCCTCTTATGGGGACTGCACGTCATCAAAACTGATGTGGTGACCCAGATTGCACCACGTTCAAACATATGGGTCACCATTGCTAATGAAACTGGGCAAGAGTCCTTTTGTCTGTCCATGGCCTGGAGATCCATTTCGAACCTGTTTAATAGGAATGCCATATTTTGACCCCAAGGATTTTAGCTCTTTTATAGAAAACGCAACCCTTGCCCAGATGAATGACACCAAAGCTAATGCAACTGCCCAAAGCATGAATATCAGTGTTAATTATACCGCTTGGTGGCAGGGACAACTTATTATGGCTTTGAATCAAATCATGTTTGAGCCCCAAGAACTAGAACTATTAGGATCTGTGCCACCTGCATTTGGAGCAGTTATGTTTAAAGGCACAGGCACTGTTACTCAGCAATTAATCAATTCACAGGTAAGATTATCAGCAGTACAAACTGTTTCTCCACAGAACCCAATATATAAGGGATTTCAAGAAATGGACTATTGCCCCCCACAGTGTAGATACAGTGATGTTTGGGGAAACAACTCTGTAGGCATGAGATTACCAAACCACACATTTTTAATCTGTGGAGATAGAGCCTGGCCTGGAATTCCTAGCTATCCAGTAGGTGGACCATGCTATATAGGCAAACTTACCATGTTTAAACCCACCATGCTTGAGATGCTGAATAACACACTTTGGAACCGTACAAAGACAAGTCGAACCAAGTGAAATGTGCATCAACTAGGGTCAGATTGTAATGATAATGTTCAATTGTGGGACATTCCAACCAACATAATTGCTTCCTTTTTAGACCCAATTGGCACTGTGAAAGCGTTGAAAGAAATTAAAAAGTTAGGATGTTGGGCTGCTAAGCAATTAAACATAACATCAAAAATTTTAACTGAACTAACAAATGATGTTGATAGCATTAGGCACACTGTTTGGCAAAATAGAGCTGCAATAGATTTTTTGCTTTTAGCACAAGGGCATGGATGTGAAGATTTTGAAGGCATGTGTTTATGAACTTATCAGATCATTCAACCTCGATACACGCTGATCTCAGAAAGTTGAAAGACAACATGAAAAAGCTTACTGTCAATGTGTCACCATTTGAAGAATGGTTAAACAATCTAGGATTATCAGGATGGCTACAAGACTTGGTAAAATCTGGAATAGTTATTTTGCTGGTGATCTGCGTTATTTTGATAATTGTACCATGTATCTTGAAGTGCCTTACGGATATGGTGCAAAAGACCATCAATCAGACCTGGATTGTGCAAAAAGAAAAAGGAGGAATTGTTGAAAGTATCTTAGACAATACAGGACATAACATATTGCTTCAGACCTATAATTACCCATAGCAGAAGCGGCATCCTTGGAGAGTCAGTAAGTTCACAAAACTGGCAGGCGTCCCCGTTGAAAGGCAACGTTGTCCTTGGTGTGAAGTTAGCTCCCCTCCAAGAAAGCACTATCTGTAGGGAATTGGCTTGGGAACAGAGGACACTGTCTCATGAGAACAGGAACATTGTCTCATGAGAACAGAGACCTGTTTTGAACTAGAGTGGTTGGGAAAAACATCAACATGAGAGAAAGATAAGAGCAGGTGCTCAGGACTGTTGTGGGAACCAGCTGTGTTAAGGGCGGCGCCGACGTTTAAGAAAGCACCAATAATGACCTCAGTTTTTGCAATATGTATGAGCTAATTATAAAGTGTATATTAAGCTGCTGGCAATGATCAATAAATGAAGTTTGCTGATGCTCGTATCGAGTGCCTCTCTCTTCCCTTGTCGCGACAACTATCTACTTTTATACAATTAACTGAGTGACCACAACCTCCCAGGTGTGGCCAGCACCGCCCAGCCAGAGGCCCTCAGTTCCACCTCCCGGTTATGTAAGTGCATCTCTTCTGTGCACACGTGAGAACTTCGGAAATCCCCTCTAGCACGTGCAGTATGTTTTGGGGGTCTTTCTTAATTGAGTCGGGGGCGAGCCTTCCTCCCCTCTTCATCAAAATCTCCTTCAAATGCCCTTGGCAGACAATTAGCCAATCACAGAATACCAATTAAAACAGTTTATATAGGAAGCTCTCTTCAAGGACAACTTTCCCGTTTATCAGTGCTTGTTTTCCCATAACTTGGCAGGGAAAGAGCAAAGCTTTCACAGGTGGCAGGGCCAAACACAGACCAAAAATATCAGCATAATTCACCCTGGTACAACAATCCAGCCTACGTGCCGGACGGCAAGGACCGTGTGTCCTTGAGCAGCAGATGTGTGTCCTTGAGCAGCAGATATGAGGAAGTTGCATAGAGATAAACAAGAAAAGAGGATGTTATGCAGGGTGTTAGAAACCACAAGATGGGAGATTCTGGAAATGTCAGAGTGCATGCCTTGGATAGGTGAGCCAATAGAGTTATAGCTATAGCGCGTGAATAAACGGATGTAACCAATAGATAGTTAGAGTAGAGCGTGTGAACCCTGTAGGACCCTATATAATTTGTGTAATTTTGCAATAAAGCGGAGCATTGACTGTACCTCCATGAGGATGTGTCTTTGACTCCGGAGCTCCTTTTTGCATCTTCTCGTTAAAATCTCCTCCCTAACCTTCCCCAGCACCGCGGTCTGACTGACAGGCCTGACAGGCCCCTAGATCCTCCTTACGTCCCTTCTTGTAGATGGTTGCCACATTTGCTATGCGCCAATCAACTGGGACCTCCCAAGTAACTGTTATTACTTTATCCTTGTGTCCTGAAACTATTAACACGATCCCTCCTTAACTTTACTTAAATAAAACGGCAACCTCAATTATATAGAAGAGCAATTTTCTCTTATTTTGCTGAAAAATCGAGGTACACTCTCAACTCAGTCATTCAAGACCAATAAATTATTCCTCTTGATGCCTTAAGACCCTTTTAGTTTCTTATTTTTCTAATTTTGTAAGCTTTATAGGTTTTATAAGACGTAGAAGTAGATTTTAGAAGCAGCAGCCCTGTACCCTCTGTACTCTGAAGATGATGAAGATGATGAAGAAGTGGTCCCAAAAGCCCCCAGACCCAATTCCCAGGGGGTGGGCCAGGGGGTGGACCAGGGCAAAAGCTACGGCATGGACAAAACTTGGATTGGTCGGGCAGTATTATAAATTGTAACATTTCAGGCACGGCTGGCGCGCATCCCTTAACATCTATGCCTAGGCACAAATTAAACCCTTTCCTTATCTCACCCTCAATTAACTGCTCCGGAGTTTTTTTTCTTTAGCACCATTTTAGGCATCAGCTGGTGGCCCATACAGGGAAATCAGAGACCTGAGGCTAATCCAGATTGGAAACTTTCATCCTGCAGGAATTCTTCATCAGCTGGCATTTTTGGAGAATTCCCGCAGTGATCTAGGGAAGCCCCAACTCCACAGAACACCGAAAGGAGCACTGAGGTGAGTTAAGAAAAGGCAAAATAAGGGAAAAAGGTACCTTCTTTAGTTAGCAGCTGCAGAAGAGTTTTTGTGTTTCCAGGGAGATAGGGAACACGGGAAGACTGGAAAGGCTTAGACTTGGGCCCAAAATAGTCGCGAGAGTCACTTTCCAGTGGGCGAAGGGGTTTCGCTGGAGCAGATCAGAGTGGGTTTCAGCCTAGTGCTGGGTTTTGTTTCGGTAGGAGGGGGATGCCCTTCCAGAGTGCTCTGATCCTGTGAGGAGCCAGGTGGGCTCTGGAGCCAGGTAGGCTTGGTAGTTAAGTGGTTACAGTAACGGGTTTGTAATCCTAAGGTGACGAGTTTGAATCCTAGTGTGTGGTTTGTTTGTGTTCTGTAGTCATGGGTTGTGTGGATTCAAAGTTTAAGATTCCTAAGGGGTCTCCTCTGAGTTTGATTTGGAAGCACTGGAGAACTTTGACCGGTCCTGAGGCAATTTTAACAAAGGAAGAACTTTGTAGGCTGTCTGTAGGTGTTTGGCCTCTGTTTGGACAAATGAGAGGGGTGACTTGGCTGGAATTTGGTTCTTTTGAACTAGACACAGTGTTGCAATTAATTTTGCTTCTTAATGTAGAACAGAAATGGGAAGAAATCCGGTATGCTGCGGTGGCGGGGGGGGGGGCTGGAGCTGCAGGGGTGGCGGCCTCTGGACCAGCTCCCGCTGGACAGGCAGGGGCTGGGCAGGTGGGGGTCGCTGGAGGACTCCCTGGTGCGGCCGCACCGGGGGGAGTTGGACAAATCGGGGCCTCCGGAGGAGTTGTCTCGGGGCCGGTGGGAGCGAGTCTCGCCAGTGTAGATGGTAGAACAGAGGCTGTCGTTTTAGCCAGAGTAGGTACAGCAGCGCAGATAAGATCTATAAGGTTGGCTTTTGTTGAAACTGCTTTCGGCGCGGCAGAGCTGAGCGGGAGTAATACAGGCGCTGCGGGGTTAGCTAGCTCAGAGGTAAAGTCTAGTTTAATCGCAACAGGAATAACAGCAGAAGCGGTTCCTGGCCCCACAGGGGCAATGGAAGCGGGACCCTCCCCGCCTGTTCCAGTGAGCGTGGGGAGAGCAGCCCGTAGCCTTGCAGCTGCCGGCGGCTTTGCCAGAGCAGACAAGGTTGTCACGGTAACAGCAGAGTTGAGCGCAGGCATAGCAGAGCAAGTGAGAGTTGAAGTTGTTAGTTCCACCAGTGACGTGACAAGAACTGTGAAGTCTAAAAAGTCGACTTTTACTAGAGTTGCTTTTGGCGTGGTGACACCAGAAAAAGTTACTATAGATGTGGCATCTGTTGTAGAGGCAAGGGAGACTTCAGAAATCGTGGTGAGAGATGCTCCGAGACTGGCCAGTGTAGTGGCGGCGGCAGGCGTAGGAGTCGCTAGCTCTAACAGTGGCAGTAAAGTGAAGGTGTCGGCCCCAGAAATGACGAGAACCCCCAGGGGTGTTTGTGGAACTGAGCAGCCCAGCACCACAGACGAGTGCTGAGGCCGTTGATTCTATCGGTGGCGGTAGTGGCGTGAGAGCTGTAAAAACGGGGCTGCATGCCCCGATTGCAGGAGGGACCCCAGAGTTTGCTGCGAA